GGGCTCTGGGACAGACTCAAAGACAGTGCAGTCCACTCGGCTCTCTCTCCAGCTGTATCACCAGTGGCATGGGCTGCTGCAGTCTAATCTTGCCGTGCTCTCCAAAGCTGGGGCTTTCTCTGGCTCAGGATGCTGGGGACATTTGCGGTGTCCATTCTCACTGCTGAACATCTGCACCTTCCACGCAGATCCGTAGTGTCTCTCCTCCTTCTTCAGAATCTCCACTGCTGTTTTCCCTCCACCTCTCCCCTGAGAATGCAGTTTCCTGACTTTTGTGTTAGTATTTTCCTGTAGTCTAGAGCAGACCGCCCTGTCCTTATTCCACCATCTTGAAATCCACCCTTCATTGTATTAATGTGATGTGTCATGTTACTTAATTTTTGTAGGTTCAAACTACTCTGCATCTCAAAGATAAATCTCACTGGGATGTGGTGTATGATCTTTATAATATATTGCTGAAACTGATTTTCTCATATTTTACTCAGAATTTGTGCATCTATGTTAATCAGGAATATCGGCTAGTAGTTTTCTTTTTTTATACACTGTCTTTGAATGCCTGTGGTATCAAGGCAATGCTAGCTGCATATAATGAGTTTTGAACTGTTCCAAACTTTTCAATTTTATTGATGAATTTGAGGAGAATTACATTAAATCTGTAGTCACTTAGTAGAATTCACCAGTGAAGCCATTAGATGCTGGAGTTTTCTTGTTGAGAATTTCTTGCTTATTGATTTAATCCCCTTATTATATTATAGGTCTGTTCATACTTCCCGTTTATTTCATGATTCATTCTTGGTAGGTTTTGCTTCCAGGAATTTGTCCATTTCTTCAAGTTTATCCAATTTCTTTGTCTTTAGTTATTCATAGTAATTTCAAAGGATCTTTTACTTCTGTAACATCAGTTGTTATGTCTTTCATTTTTTTATTTAGTTGTATCTTCTTATTTTAGCAAAGTTTTTTCAATTTTATTAAACTTCAGAAACAACTCAATTTCATTATTTTTTCTATTGTATTGCTAGTGTCTGTTCCATGTATTTATGCTATGATCTTTGTTATTTCCTTTCTGTTAACTTTGCCTTAGTTTGTTGTTGTTGTTATTGTTGTTGCTTTTAGTTCTGTAATGCGTAAGATTTCATTGGAACTTTTTTCCTTACATAATGTTGGTGTTAATGGTATAAACTTTATGCTTTGCACAGCTTGCTGCATCACATAAGCTTTAGTATGTTTTGTTTCATTTTTTTTCTTTTTATTTATTTATTTTTTATTTATTTTTATTTTTTTGACAGGCAGAGTGGACAGTGAGAGAGAGAGAGACAGAGAGAAAGGTCTTCCTTTGCCGTTGGTTCACCCTCCAATGGCTGCCGTGGCTGGCGCGCTGCAGCCGGCGCACCGCGCTGATCTGATGGCAGGAGCCAGGTGCTTCTCTGGTCTCCCATGGGGTGCAGGGCCCAAGGGACTTGGGCCCATCCTTCCACTGCACTCCCTGGCCACAGCAGAGAGCTGGCCTGGAAGAGGGGCAGCCGGGACAGAATCCGGCGCCCTACCGGGACTAGAACCCGGTGTGCTGGCGCTGCTAGGTGGAGGATTAGCCTATTGAGCTGCAGTGCCAGCCATGTTTTGTTTCATTTTAATTTGTCATAAGATATTTGTAATTTTTCTTTTGATTTCTTCTTTGTCCCATTAGTTCAGAGTGTGTTAATTTCCACATATTTGTTACTTTTCCAGTTTTTCTTCTATAAATTTCTAGTTTCATCCCTTTGGGAGAAAAAATACTTGAAATGGTATCAATATTTTTTCTAAAGAATCACTTTATTTGTTTGAAAGACAGAACAGTTACAGAGAGTATAGAGACAGAGAGAGAGAGAAAGAGGTCTTCCATTCCACTGGTTCACTCCCCAAATGACCACAACAGCCAGAGCTGAGCTGATTAGAAGCCAGGAGCCAGGAACTTCTTCCAGGTCTCCCTCGTGGGTGCAGGGGCCCAAGGAGATAGGCCATCTTCTACTGCTTTCCCAGGCCATAGCAGAGAGCTGGATCAGAAGAGGAGGAGCTGGGACTTGAACCAGTGTCCATATGAGATGCCGGTGCTGCTGGCTGGGGCTTTAATCTACTGTGCCACAGCGCCAACCCCTCAGTATTCTTAAATTCATTAAAAATTGTTTTTGGGAGGCTGTCGCTGTGGTGTAGCAGGTTAAGCCACCACCTACAATGCCAGTATCCCATATGGGTGCTGGTTTGAGTTCCTGCTGTACCACTTTTGATTCAGCTCCCTGCTAATGTGCCTGGGAAAGCAGCTGAATATGGCCCTAGTGCTTGGGCCCCTGCCACCCATCTGAGAGACCTGGATGGATCTTCAGGCTCGTGGCTTTGGCCTGGCTCAGCCCCAGCAGTTGTGATTACTTGGGAAGTGACCAGCAGGTAGATGGCTCCCCTCTCTGCCTTGCCCTCTCTCTTTTTGTAACTCTGACTTTCAGATAATAGATAAATCTTTAAAATAAGGGTCGTTTTTTTGAATAGCAAAAATAAGTATATTACCAGAAGAAATTACATGTTAGTCCAAAAAATATATATTTATATAATATATAATATATTATGTCTAGTTGGTCTATAATGTTTAAGTCTTCTGTGTCCATATTTATTTTCTTTCTAGAACTTCCATCCATTACTGAATATAGAGTGTAGAAGTTTCTTGTTGTGACAGTATTGCTGTTTCCCCTACCCTTTAGTTGTTAATATTAACTTTATATATGTGTAAATATATATCAATTTATAAATATATATATATTTGGGTGCTCTGGCATTAGATGTATATATATATAATAGTGATGTGTTCTGGTGAATGTGAATTTACCCTTTTATTAGTATATAATGTTCTTTCTTATCTCTTATTATAATTTTTGACTTAAAGTATATTTTATCTGATACAAGTGTAGCTACCCCATTGTGTTAGCATTGTGATGCAACATGTTAAGCCACCATGTGCAATGTCAGCATCCCATATTGGAATGCAAGTTTGAGTCCCAGCTGCTGCACTTCTGATCCAGCTTCCTTCTAATAATGCACCTGGAGAGGCAACAGAGGGGGGCCCAAAGTACTTGGGCCTGCCATACATGTTGGGGACCATAATGGAGTTCCTGGTTCCTAGATTTGCTCTAGCCCAGCCCAGGCTTTTGCAGCCCTTTGGGGAGTAAACCAGCGCATGGAATATCAATCTGTCTATCTTCTCTATGTCTCTCTTTGACCCCCGTCTATCCCCACCTTGCACTTTCAAATAAACAAATGAATGAATCTTTTTAAAAAAATTATAGCCACCCCTTCTATCTTTTGGTTACCATTTGTATGACCTTTTTCTATCCTTTCATTTTTAACCCCAGTGTGCCCTTAAATCCAAAGTGAGTTCATTATAGTTATCATATAGTAAGATCTTGTCCTTTTAAAAAAATCCATTCAAATTCTTTATGATTATTTATTATATATAATAAAATATTGCCATTTTATTCATTGCTTTTTGTCTTGTGGATCTTTTGTATCTCTTTTCCTCGATTTTAAAAATTGTGATATACTTTAATTCTTGCTATGTTTGAAGATAATTTTGACCTTTAACTAATGTAGGATATTAAAGTCTAAAATCATAAGTTAATAGTACTAGAAGTCTGGAATCTTAATTGAATTATTGTGTTTAGGAGGTAGAACCTAATGGGATGTTATTGGGGCATATCCTTGGAAATTAATTCTCTTGAGAGAGTTATTACAAAAGCCTGAGTTTGGGCCCAGCCTCTCTCTCTGCCTCCTAGGACTAGGTGATCTCTCCTTTATCTATATGCCTCCCAGCATTCCAACATCCACCATCTACTGTGGGCCCCTAGCCAGAGCCAAAGTCTGTACAATACCATTTGGTCCTTGAACCTCCCAAACTGTGACCTAATAAACCTCTCTTTACTTCATTTGTAGTTTGTCTCAGGTATTTCATTATAGTGATGAAAATCTGATTAATATAATTTCTCTTTTTTTGTGTGTGTATCTTCTATAGGAATTTATTTCAACTCCATACTATAACTGTACACTTTTAATCCCCCCATATTTTGTGTATTGATGTCTCAATTTATACTTCTTATATCATGCATCTAGTGGCATTTTTCTTAGTTATTTTTAATACTTTGTTTTATTCAGTTTTATGCTAGAGTTAAAAGTCATTTATATATTACCATTAAAGTACTGCAGTATTTTGTATTGTTTATATATTTACCTTTCTCAGAGCATTTTATACTTTCATGTGCTTTGGTATTGCTGTTTAGCATCCTTTCATTTCAGCTTGGAGAATTTCCTTAAGAATTGCCTTTTGGAAAGTCATAGTGGTGTTGAACTCACTCAGTGTTTGCCTGGGAAAGTCTTTATTTCTCCTTCATTTTTTAAAAGACATGTTTGCTGAGCATGGTGTTCTCAGTTGACAGTTTTTCCTTTTAGTGCTTTGAAAATGTTATCCCATTTTCTTCTGTCCTGTAAAATTTCTGAAGCCAGGATCCCAGAACTCAATCTAGATCTCTCACACACGTAGCAAATGCTAATTGCTTGAGCCATCATCTACTGCCTCTCCAAAGGTGTTAACAGGAAGCTAGATAGGAAGCAGAGCTGCCAGAGCGCAGACTGTCACTCTGATATGGAATGCAGGTGTCACATGTTTCAGCCTAACCTCCTGTGCACAATGCCTGCCCCCACCACCTTCTAGTTAGTGAACACTAGAACTGTAAGAATTCTTAAAATCTGGGTATCTTCATATGCATATATGAATCGATGAATCACAATGAAGATGGAATTCTAGATAAATTTATTTGAATAGTGGGTGATAAAACATATATGTTACAGTTCATCTTATAGTGCTGTGGAGAGAATTGCTGGATTGTGGTCTCAGATGTCTGATGCTGGTTATTTAAACAGGATAAACGTAGTAGTGGGAGGAAGCACTTTTTGATATTGCTCACTGAATCATCAACTTTGTTTAGGTGGAGAGGAAGAGGAGGAGGAAGAAAAACTACCTAGAAGAGAGAGCTTGAGACCAAAAAGGAAACGAAAAAGAGATGTTATCAATGAGGATGATCCAGAACCTGAGCCAGAAGATGAAGAAACAAGGAAGGCAAGAGAGAAAGAGAGGAGGAGGAGGTTGCGGAGAGGAGCGTAAGTTAGATTTGATATAAATGGAAAGTATCTCTTTCAAGCATGTGACACTGAAAGAAGACCACTCCCTTTAAGTACTCATAGGTCTTAAAGTTGTTAATTAAATCAACTTTTGGAATGACAGGCTTAATTTATGCTGTCACTATACCCCACTTAATTAAATGTATTAAATAATTAAAAGATTTTAATATTTGTTTATTGTCATTTTATTTGAAAGACAGAGAGATAAGGGAAAAAAGACAAAGACAGAAAGAGAGCTGTTAGTCACTGATTGACTCCCAGATGCCTGCAACTATTGAAACTGGACCAGGCTGGAGCTAGGAGCCTGGAACTCCATCCATGTTTCTCATGTGGGTGGAAGGGACCCAGATAGTTGAGCCATCACCTGTTGCCTCCCATAATGATCATTAGTGGGATGCTGGAATTGGAAGCAGAGCCAGGACTTGAACTCAGATACTCTGATATGGTGTACAAGCATCCTAAGTGACACCTTAACCATTTTGCCAAATGCCCACTCTTAAAATAGAGTTTAAAAATGAATCTACATTAAAAATAGATTATGATAAAATACTTTATGAAATATCTAAGTTGTCAGAGATCATTAATATTCTTTAGTTAATTTGAATATTTTAAAATTATCCCATTAATTATATGGATTGTTATCTAAATTAAGTAGAAAATTCCTAGAGTGAAGCCAAACCTCTATCTTGTAGAACAGGGGTTGGAATGCCATGGATATATCTAGCTCAAGAATTAAGATTGGTTTTTACTGCCCAACGTGTGCATTAGGAGACAAGAAAATAATTTTCTTATCTTTGCTTTCTGAAAATTTATAGATGGTAAGCAAATAGGAATATGGTGCATATAAAACACACCATGTAATAGAAAACCAAGACCCCTTTGGAAAGGATTAAAGAGATCAGCCAGCCTTTTTGCATCCTTGCAAGTAACAGGGCTGTGTGAATCAAAAGAATATGTAATCTCCAAACACTCCTAGGTCTTAAGGTGATGAGGAGCCCTCCAGGTTGTCCTCCTGGGATGGCAGCTCCAGTGTTCAATAGCTCTTTTACATTGTTCTTCATAAATAATTATTATTAAATATGGCTGTGCAACAATTTTGTCAGGTAGAGAAGCTTAACATTAATAAATGATGGTTCCTCTTAGAATAAAAGAGAAACTCCACCCACATCTGTATGTTTTAGTTTACTTTTTAAAAGTTTTCCTTCTCTTTCTTTGTTCTTTTCTTTTTTCCCAAGCCCTTTCACAATCTTCTTTGAATACCAAGACATCACTTGCTTTACATTTTGACTCTTGTGTTTTTTATTTGTATTACCTTTATAAGTGTCTTATGTATTTTTCTTTCAGAAATAAAATTAAATGCAATTTTAAGTCCCATGTATTATTATGAATATTAGTTTTATTATTATCTGGTGATATTTCCCATTAGGAAAGTTTATGCTTTCTGAAACTGGTATTTCATTGAGAAAATAGCACCAATCAACATATGCATCTTACACTATACATTCTAGAACTGTCTATTTTTATGTATGCTTCAAAAAAATCCTATAAAGATTAGTTGGCAGGAATTCCTCTGCTCTCTTGATCTGCTTAGAGCATTCATGTCAGCTATATTACCTCCAGGAGATAGGGCCTTGTGAGTTAACTGGATCTTGTCCCTGTGGAAAGAATTTATTTGAGGAAGTGAGGGAAGGAGGGAGGAAGAGAGAGAGAGGAGAGCGAGAGAGAGAGATAGGAAGAGAAACAGAGATAGATAATGAGAAATTTCCATCAGCTGGCTCACCCCACAGATGCCTGCATATCCTTGTACAAGCTCTTGTATTTGTGCCCAACTGCACCAGTTCTTGTATTTGTGCCCAAGTACCAGCCTAGCAGAGATGCCTGAGTCTGGTGGGGAGAACTGACACGGGCCTGAGTGCTTGTGACTGTGGGAGGCTTGTGTGCTGGGACTGTGAAAACACTGTGTCTGTGTGGGAGGGCTCACGGTATGGCTGGGAATTTGGACAGTCACTGTGGGAGGCTCTACATGCTCATGGCTCCCTGATTCCTTGGTGAGGGTCATTGCTGTGGAATCTCTACATACTCCAAGGACTGCACAGATCCTTTGTGTGATTCTTGTGGCAATGCAGATGAGTATTATTCCCACTGGGGCTGGCATACAGGCACTGGTCTCCTTTGAGGAGAGGAGGTGAGCTGAGACTATGCCAACAGAATGGAACAAAACTACCTTTTGATTTAAAAAAAGAGAGATTTACAATGCTCAACATGGGTGTTATCTTGGATACTCTCCTCACCCTGGAATGCTAAACAGAACTCTCTGGCCATATCCACCACATGCCTTTAGGTATTTACTGAAAAAGTGGATACTCCACTAATCCACAGAGGCATAGTCCAAAGATAAAACCATCACAGGATAAAAATAAAGAAACCAACAAGTATCTCCACAAATGCCTAATTATAAATGCAGCAGTTCAAGAAATAAGAATAAGGATGACAACATGATGCCTTGAAAAGAACACAACACTTCAGTACTAGAATGTGAAGATATAGATTGAAGAAATGCCATAAATGGAATTTAAAAAAAAGACTGTAAGTTTATTTAGAAGTAATCAGAAGCAAATCCATGAACTAATGAAATCCACACATGAGATGAAAGAATATTTCTCCCATGAAATAGAGATCTTAAAGAAAAATCAAAAATAAATCTTGCAAATGAAAAATTCAATACAACAAATAAAATATGCAGTGAAAAGCCTTAACAGAATCGGTGAAGCAGAAGAAATATCCAACTTAGAACACAAATCACAGGAAATTTTACAGTCAGACCAAAACAAAAGCAAGTAATTAGAAAACTAAAAAACACTGTTGGAGATCAGCAGGATACTATCAAATGACCCAACATATGGGTCTTAAGAGTTCCCAAAGATGTGGAAAGAAAAAAAGCATTAATAGGCCTTTTTAGTGAAATAATTACAGAAAATTTCCCTAATTTGTAGAAAAAAAGGTACATGCAAGCACTGGAAGCACATAGAACTCCTATTAGTTGTGATCAGAAAATATCTTCACCACAACACACTGTATTCAAACTCTCCATAGTAAAACATAAAGACAAGATTCTAAAGTATGCATGAGAGAAACGCCAGATTACTTTCAGAGGATTGCTAATTAACTCACAGTGGACTTCTCATCAGAAACCTACAGGCTAGGAGAGAATGGTGAGATATATTCCAAGTCTTAAGAGAAAATAACTGTCAACCCAGAATACTGTACCCTGCAAAGCTCTTATTTATAAATTAAAGTGAAATAAAAACCTTCCATTAAAAAAAAGAAATTGAAAGAATTTGTCACCACTCATCCAGCCTTACAAAAGATGCTTAAGCATGTGCAGTACACAGAAAAACAGAAACATGGTCATTGATATAAAAGAAGATGAAGGAAGAAAATCTCACAATAAAAGTACAAAGGAAATCCGAAGTAAAAAATGGGAATATTTATGGAAAAATGGCAAGGCAAAGTCGTTACTTATCAATAGTCACCTTGAATGTAAATAACTCACTCTGCAATTAAAAGACCAGACTGGCTGAATGGATTAAAAAAGAGAATCCATTTATTTTATGCCTACAAGAAACACATCTCACCAAGAAAGATACACACAGACTGAAAGTGAAAGGATGGAAAAAGCTACCATGCCAACAGAAACCAAAAAGATCTGATGTAGCCATCCTAATTCCAGACAAAATAGACTTTAACACAAAAACTGTTAAAAGAGACAAAGAAGGGACCTATCTAATGATTAAGGGATCAATTCAACAGGAAGATGTGACTATTATGAATGTATATTAACCTAATTACAGGGCGCATGGATATTTAAAAAGAAATGTTAATGGATTTGAAGAGAGGCATAGATCAAATACAAGAATAATGAGGGGACTTCAATATTTCACTATCAGCAATGGACAGATCAACCAGACAGGAAATCAGCAAGGAAACAACAGTTAATAACAGCATAGACCAAATGGACCTAACAGACATCTGCAAAACTTTCACACCACAGTTGCAGAATACATATTCTTCTCACAAGTGCATGGAACTTTCTCTAGGATTGACCACATACTAGGCCATAAAACAAGTCTCAGCAAATTGAAAAAATTAAATTCATATCTTACATCTTCTCTGACCACAATGCAATAAAGTTGGAAATCAACAACTCAGGAATCTCTAGAACATATGCAAACACATGGAGACTGAACAACATGCTCCAGAATGAAAAATAACAGCAAACCCAAATCAAAACTAGTAGTAGAAAAGAAATAATTAAAAGTAGAGAAGAAATAGCAAAATTGAACAAAAAAATACAAAAGATCAGCAAAATGAAGAGCTTGTTTTTTAAAGAAATAAACAAAATTGACACACCATTGACTCAACTGACCAAAAAAGGGGGGAAGACTCAAATTAATAAAATTAGAGATGAAAAAGGAAATGTAACTACAGACACCATAGAAATAAAAAGAATTGTCAGAAATTACTACAAAGAGATGTATGTCAACAAACCAGGAAGCCTAGAGGAAATGTATAGATTCCTGGAAATATACAAACTACTTAAATTGAGCCATGAAGACACAGAAAACCTAAACATGCTCATAACCAAGACAGAAATAGAAATAGTAATAAAGGCACTCCCTAAAAAGAAAAGTCCTGGATTGGATGGCTTCACTGCTGAATTCTACTAGACATTTAAAGAAGAACTAACTCCAATTCTTCTCAAGCTATTCAAAACAAATGAAAGGGAGAGAATCCTCCCAAAGTCTTTCTGTGAAGCCAGAATCACCTTAATTCCTAAACCTGAAAGTTGCAACAGAGAAAGAGAACTACAGACCGATTTCCCTGATGAACATAGACACAAAAGTCCTCAGTAAAATACTAGCCAAATGAACCAAAAACATATCAGAATGATCATTCACCCAGAGCAAGTAGGATTTATC